ATTCCGCCTCTGGTAGTATCTCTGCGCTGAAGTCAGCCACGAAGTCGGCAAGTACTTGCGACTTGATGGCGCTCCTTGGGTGATATGAGATATCGTGCTCACTGAGCTCTATGGCCCATCGGGCGAGTCTGCCTGATAACTCAGGGTTTGTGTAGGATACTTCTCGAGGGGAAGGTCGTCACTACCGTTTATGGGGTGGCATTGGAAATAGGGTCGGAGCTTCCGTGAAGCTACGACCAATGCCAAAGCTAATTTTTCAAGATGTGGATACCGTGTTTCGGCGTTCACTAAGGTTTTGCTAATATAGTAAATAGGAGATTGTGTACCTTCACTTTCGCGGACTAGGACTGCGCTGACGACAACCTCGGACACGGCCAAATACACCAGCAGTGGTTCACCTGGGTCTGCTTTGGCTAGCAATGGCGGTGAAGACAGGTACGCCTTTAATTTCTTTAGGGCCTCGATGCATTCCTCGTTCCATTGTAACCCATTGTCCTTTCGTAGCACACTGAAAAACTTGTGGCATCTGTCGGAGGACCGTGAGATGAACCTAGACAAGGCGGCTATTCGCCCGGTCAGTTTTTGCACCTGCTTTTTGCTGTTCAGTATCTCTGGTATTGCGTCTATCGCCTTGATTTGATCTGGATTGACTTCGATACCTCGTTGTGATATGAGAAACCCTAAGAATTTTCCTGATGCCACGCCGAAGGCGCATTTCTCGGGGTTCAGTTTCATCCCGTATTTTCTCAATATTTCGAAGGCTTCTTTCAGATGGTCGAGGTGGTCCTCTTTTCTTGTCGACTTTACCAGCATGTCGTCGATGTAGACTTCCATAGTCTTACCGAGCTGCTCTTTGAACATTTTGGTTACTAGTCTCTGGTATGTAGCCCCCGCAATTTTGAGCCCGAAGGGCATTACTTTGTAGCAGTAAGTCCCTTGGTGGGTGATGAAAGTTGTCTTCTCTTGGTCCTCCTCGGCCATCATAATTTGATTGTAGCCGGAGTAGGCGTCTAGGAAGCTCAGTAGTTCATGTCCTGCAGTGGCGTCGATCAGTTGGTCGATATGGGGTAGTGGGAATGAATCTTTTGGGCATGCCTTGTTCAGATCGGTGAAATCTACGCACATTCTCCACTTCCCGTTCTTCTTTTTTACCATGACAACGTTGGCGACCCACTCGGGGTACTTTGATTCCCTGATGGAGCCGTTGGCCAGTAGCTCGTCTACTTCTTTACCGACCGCTTCATTGATAGGGGCGTTGAATTTTCTCCTCATCTGTCGCACGGGCGGATGTAATGGATCAACATTCAGCTTGTGGGTGGCGATGTCTCGCGAGATTCCCGGCATATCTGAATGGGAAAAGGCGAACAAATCTGCATGGTTAGTTAAGAATTCACAATACTTACTTGGGTTGGCGAGACTTTGCCCGATATAGGCTTTCTTCGTAGGATCGATTTTGTCCAATTGGACTGGGTCGAGGTCTTCGACCGTTGCTTTACAGGCTTCCACGATGTCGGGGTCTTTGATCACGTCCGTTATCGGGTTGACCTTAGTTCCCGACACGGCTAATTGCTATGCCTCCGCGCTCGCCCCCTTTAGCTGTTGGGTGTGGGCGCAGTCTTGGGCTATTTTGTAGCATTCTTGTGCGGTGCGTGGCTCGCCTTGAATACTGAATACTCCCCATGGGGTAGGAAATTTGATCACTTGGTAGTGGCTTGAAGGGACCGCTCGCATGGCGTGTATCCATGGGCGTCCTATGATGACGTTGTACGCCGTTTCTTGGTTCATCACGTGGAAAGTTGTTTCCAGCGTGACTCCTCCTGCTAAGACGGGCAGTGCTATTTCTCCGGACGTCCGTTCCACTGCATTGTTAAAACCGGTTAGTGTTATGCAGCGTGGTATTACCTTATCCTCGAGTCCCATTTGTTTGAGGACCCTTGGGTGGATAATACAGGCGCCGCTTCCGTCATCGATCATGACTCTTTTAACATCTGTATCAGCGATACGTAAAGTGATAACTAAAGCATCATAATGAGGGAAAGACAAACCGTCGGCATCAGACTTATCGAAGGTGATACTATCTTCGAAGTCCTCATACTGTTCATAGGCGATGGTCCGCTTTAGTCTGTGTGTGGTGGCGAGTTTGACGTGATTGATCGCTGCCTCGTCGCCGCCTCCGACGATCATGTTTATCGTGTGAGCTGGGGAAGGCGGCTTCGGCGGCCCGTGGGGCTGTTCCCGTCCGCGTGCAAAGTTTATTTTTCCTTTGTCACTGAGTAGCTCCCTTAGGTATCCCTGGTTCAGCATCCTGACCACTTCTTGCCGTAGGCCGATGCAGTCTTCGGTTTTGTGTCCTCGTTCCTGATGGAACTCACACAGGGCGTTTGATTTCCTTGTGGCAGGGTCTGATTTCATCTTTTGCAGCCAGTGCACCTTGGTGCCTAGCTTCTCCAGTGCGTACACTATCTCTGAAGGAGACACACAAAAGTTATGGGCGGTTAATAAAGGGGGCGTACCTCTTTCGTTTCGCAGTGGGGCGACGTGTCGCTGTAGTGCGTCTGTATGCCTTGGTGGCGGATGGGAGGATCTGGTGTACGGCTGGTGTCGATCTCTGTTGGAACGAGGGAGTTGTTCTCGTCGTCCTTCGTTCCGTCGATCTCTCCTTGTTTCCGAGTGTATCGCTGTTAACCGTTGGGTCGGCCCATTTAGATCATCCTCGTCCGCTCGTACCTCGGCGCAGTAAGCGTTGTGGATTTCTTCCCATGTGGTAGGGGGATATTTCATGAGGCGACTCAGCAGTTTCTTGGTTGCCCTCGAACCATTTCTGCTTAGCCCGTTCTGGAAAACGGCGACTGCCATACCTTCCGATACGTTTGGTAGGCTCATCCTTACCCTGTTAAACCTTGCCAGGAAGTCCCTGAGTCCCTCTCCTGCGTTTTGCCTGATGGCGAAGATGTCGTTGACCCTGGCTTCTGCTTTCTTCGCGCCTGCATGGGCTGTGACGAATTTATCTGCCATTTCCTCGAACGTTGATATTGCTTTAGCCGGTAGCTGAGAGTACCATGTTAAGGCCCCTCCTGTCAACGTCTCGCCAAACTTCTTCAGTAGTACCGACGGTACCTGTTCTTTTGATAGGTCGTTGCCTTTCACAGCAGTGACGTAGTGGATCAGATGATCCTCGGGATCGGTGGTTCCGTCATATACCCTCAAGTATGGTGGCATTTTGAAGGTTTTTGGGGTGGAGTGAGGAGCAGCTTCTTCGGTGTATGGTTGTTCGACGAACCTTCCTACGTCGCGTTTTGGTAGCAACTTGGGAGCACCGGGGATCTTGTCGACCCTCTCCTGATGTTCCTTCATCTGACCGCGGAGCGCCTCATTTTCATTTTCTATTTCTTCCATCTTCTTTAAGATGGTTGTTAGCGTGCCATCGTTGGTTTGTGTCTCGATGGGTCTGTTATTTACCAGTGTAATTTCTGGTTCACCCACTGCCGCAATGGTACCTACCGTTGGTGTACATTCGACGTTATTTTGCGGTGGCCTTTCAACCAAGCCACTTAGAGCGCTTGTTAGCCATCTTTCCAGTAGCTCTTTGACCGCTGAGGGTGCTTCCGTGGCTGTAGATGTGGAAGCTCCTTTGTGTAAGATCGTCAGACCTTCGGATGGGGAAGGTGAGATCTCCGCACCTGGTGTGATGCTTGGGGTTTCATTCAGGATGCCATCGTCACAGGCCTCGTTGAGAGGGCCTAGGAAATTGGTAGTGACACCCAATATGGCTTTCGATCTTGTGTTGTTTTCGGCCATTTCCTGTTTTTGAGTGGTGTAGAGAGTGGTGGTTGGTTGATCTCTAGGTGGATACTATGGTTTTGATTCTCGAAATCCCCACAGACGGCGCCAAATTGTTTGGCTCAAAAGTTAACGATGTACTTTGTAAGCAATAAAACAATCAAAATATAGAGAAGGGGTAAATCGTAATCAAATATAATAAACCTAGAGATGCAAAGATGATAATATTGTTGTAGATCTAGTGTTGCAAAGATGATAATGTATGTTCATAAGATATTTTCGTCAGAAGTAGAGGTATAGAGAGAGAAAGACAGAAAAGGAGAGAGTTGTATTAGATCAGCTGCCTCCTTTACAATGTGGAGGTCCCCTTTATATAATAGGAGACCTTCCTCGAACGAATCAAAAAGTTACAGAGATAGGTAACGTCTCTCTAGTATAGACGCTGAGTTCTAAACGACGTCGCGTAGAGATATTGAGGGTCAAATTTGACCCTATACATGTTCCTTAAGTTTAGTCTGTATGACATTTCAAGGATATATATAAAATTAGAAGCTCATATAAGCAATCAATGGAAAAACTGTATAATTCGATCTTATATAAATTTCCTAATGTATTGAGAATATATACACAATCGGATCTTAAGGTTTTGGCCGACCGGATTACACCAAAAAACAGTTCCGTTCCAACCTCCACCCAGTCACTCGATCCGCCGCCATGCTTCGCCGCCTTGTTACCTGCTGACGTCACTTCATCTTTACTGAGGTCAGCATTCCACAGGCTCATCCGTTCTAAACATATTAGAAAGCCGGCTCGGTCGACGCTGAAAACCGAAACGGCGGCGCTGTTGATGTGAAGAAGGACGAATCAAAGCAGCCAAAGCTCGTTTCACCAACTCGCCTTCAACAGTACCAATTCGTACAAGTGAATTTGTCATCGCCGACCGCCTCATATTCAACCGATTCGGATTCGAATTATAAGACGACGATACTGTTTGAGTACCACTACTACTTCTGCTCCTTCGAACATCCATTTTCTTATGCATACTACAACGGAATGAACCTGGATGTGTCGTCGGCGAGCACATACACGCCGCCTTCTTCTGAGGTAGAGATTTGTACTGCCGGTTCCTAATACTCTCCCGGTTCATAACAGAAATAGACCGGTTCGGTGACATCTCACGGTCCAGAGAGAACTGTATGGATGAAGCAGAAGACGACGACGTCCTAGAGGTGGACGAATAAAATCTTCCGGCAGGCGAAAGTGAACGTAACACCGGTCCGGTTGAGCGCCGAGCAGAAACCGCCATTTTTTGCTGTTTTACCGTTATAGAGAGAGAGAGAATAAGAAGAATATTTCTTATCTCCTGAATTTAGCCGTGTTTGGCTTTTTGATTTGGCAAACGGAAGTTCCAGTCGAGGTATGTATTTATAGCAGTCCTCGGAACTATTACTATTATTATTATTATTATTATTATTATTATTATTATTAGTATTAGTATTTTGGAAAAAGATTTTGTTTTTGCTGGGCCTATATTAGCTTTAATTGCATGGCTGACCCTCTAGTTTTTTTAGAATTCTATTTCGGTCTATATGTGTGTTAATATCGTGTTAACACATTAACTTGACGGTTAAGAAATCTCAAACCTTATGCACATTAATTTATTTTTAATTCTATATCTTATCATATAACATTTCCAAGATATTTCTTTTAAAAGAAATTTTGAAAAATGAAGTTTCCATATGTGCAAATTTTTGGTTCTTTTTGCCTACTTTTAATATTGATGCTTACGCTTTTTAACGATTTAACAAGAATAAGATGAAAATTGAAGTTCATTTTAAAAGTAAACAAACTTCTAAATGACATTTCGAGAGAAATAATTACAAGCTAGAAAAGGCTAATTAAATTTCTAAAATAAAATTCACTTGTAGATATTAATCTCACTATGTTCTCTTCTCAACAAAATTTGTAACACGTGATTACATGAAAGTAACTACAAAATACTTCATATATACACGGAGGAAAGGGAAAATGGCCTTTGCATAATAATCTTGTTGGATAATATTTAAATCTACTACTGTTGTACTGAAATAGTGTTTACCCTTAAAATCGGATAATAGTTAAACTTATAAGTGGTTTTAAAGATATGTGATTTCACTTGGCACAAACTGATAAATATAAGAATTAATGCTAGAGATTAACAGTAAAATAAAGCAAACCAATGTGATGAACAACCGTGGCCCTCGAGCTTAGACCGCCCTCGAACCTCGCCCGATCACAAATATCTCGGCTTTCTGTTATTCGACGTAGTAGGCCTCCTTCGATCTTGCTCGATCTCTTTCTCGCTTCGGTCTCGATCACGGCTGGCCTCGATCTTGATCGGCCATTGATCCACGAGCTTACCAATCCATTCTCCGTACCAGGTTCCGATATAATTGGGGTCGGGCCTTGATCTTCCGTCCCAATTTCGGTTAGTTGTACAAAATTAGGCAAGCCCGATTTTGACTGTATACAAATAGTCCCCTCGTTTCTTGGAGTGCAATGACAAGAAACGAATTGAGTCTTCAAATTTACCCTCATTTTATCATGACGTAAGCATCGTGACGTAAGCGGCGGAGGTGACCGAAACGTCCCGTCGGTTTACTTCCCAGGCATTTAAGGCGCGTTAGTTGTCGGTCGGCACTACAAGTATTGAGCCGTCGTCTTCAACCTATAAATGCATCTTTCTTCATCTTTCAAACTTTACTTGCAAATCCCGTTCACTCTAATCTTCTAAAATCTTTGTCTTCTTCAGAGCTCTATATCTTCAGATCTCTGACTTTTCTCGCTTGTTTTATCATAAAACACCCAACGTCTTCCCCCGTTTCATCCTTCTCTACCTATAGGGATGGATAAAACTTCAAAAATCGTTCCGCACAAGGAAACAACTTCTTCATCAAAGTCCATCGGCGCCGCAGCCGTAGGGGAACATCCCCTCGCGGACTTCGTTTCGACGAGGTGTGCCACTGCTGCTGATTTCAAGGTGGAGAATACACCCTCGACACCGGGTCGATGTGAACCAATATCGAAGTACATGTGTACGATTACAAAAAGTCTCCTCGAGAAGGTGAAAGAGGAGTGCAACTGGGTAGGCAAGGATGTAGTAGTGCCTAGCCACGGGGAGTCCATCACAACTCACGTGGAGGGGTATCTGAGCGTCTACATCTACCCCTTCACGATAGGTGCCTTAGACTCTATCATCATTGCCTTTTGCAAGAGGAGCGATGTCACCCTAGGCCAAATCCATCCATCATTTCGAAGGATCGTGACCCTCCTCCGATTCTTTGTAAGCAAGATCGAGGGGCATCTTTTACCCTCGATCACCTCATGCGCCTCTACAGCCTCCGGCTTTATCGTGGAGGCATTATCAAGCTTTATCGCTGAGCCACCAAACCCCTGTTCTCGAGCATAGATGAGACCCGAGACCGAGGTTGGATGGGCAGATTTGTCCGAATAAAGACTTCGGATCTAATCCCTGCCGAAGATATGTCGTTCCTTGAAAAGTGGAACATGAAATGTAAGTACCGCTTTGCCTTGGAATATTTATTTTGTCGTTTTACTTCCTGTCTTCCCCTCATCTAAGTTTTTTGTGTTGCAGCTATAGTTGTTGTGCCGGAAGTGATCCCCGACCTGAGGCAACGGGTCGAGGGATTGGTGTCACAGAAAACTTATTCCGAGCGTGCTTGGATGGAGTTAATCAAAGGGTCAATAGGGAAGCCTGTAACCATTGTAATCTTTTTTCCTTAGAAAGGTTTTCATTTGGGCTTTATTATTGTACTTACTCAACTTTTCCATTTTGTAGGTCTCGGGAAGGATGTGCCGATGAGGCCCCTTTCTGCTAAAGAAGAGGCATTGCTTTCCCCATCTGCCCCGAAGCAGGGCAAAGAGAAGAAAAGAAAGGAGGCTCCGAGTTCTCTAGGTCCGGAGAATAAAAGGCCGGCCAGGAGGCCCCGTAAGCCTAAGGGGAATGTCATCCATGTATCTCTAGAGTCCGTCCAACAGATAATGGATGAGACCGAAGATGAAGACGAAAACGTAGAAAACTCTGGGTTGGTGACTGGTGTGCGAGCTGGTACCGAGGTTCAAAGAACCATTGGACAGGCAGGAGCCGAAGCCGTTTTGCCCCAACCTGATGAGCCCGAGCAGGAAAGAGTCGAAGGTGCCTCACCTCGAATTGGGCAACTACTGAGGAAACAATCAGGGCCGGTGTAGAAACCATGCCCGATGCTTCCCGTAACGAAGACGGAGCCCTAAAGGATTCACCTGGGGCAATGTAGATTGGAGATTTCTCCTCATTGCCTTTGTTCTCTGATACGACAATCAAGGACGCTTAAGTGATGGAGGCTCACCAGGGCGAAGAGGCCCATGAAGCAAAAGATCTTTTCGGTGGCTATTTTGCTGAAGTGGAAGATGTCACCGGTCTGGGTCACTTGGACGTACCGAGGAAGAGCTCGAATGAGGCTTCCTCAAGCTATAAACTGACCAACCAATTTTCGGCCCTCGGCGTTGATCTCGAGCGTAAGCGGCCACTTATCATCTCGATCCCGGAGGATGTTCAAGTTTTCTTTTCCCCCGTAGGGGTGGCTAGCTATCTTCGATGCTTGGTCACTGAAGAGGACCAAGCCAAAATGGATACAGTGGAAGTCTTGTTCAACGAGGCCCATCATGCTCTGAATCAGGTAAGTTCAAGGGCCATTATCTGTTTATGACTTTGAATTGTAGATATCTCTAACATTTTCTTTCTTTCTCGTAGGCTTTAGTGGTGCATCATGAGGTTGTTCTTCGAATCCGAGAGGAACGAAAGGCCGATGTCCAGGGCCTCACTGAGAAATGCAATACTTACAAACTTCTTAGTGAGAAGCTTCAGGTAGACCTGGTGGAGGCTCGAGATGAGCATGCTGCGATGGCTGAGCAGGTATTCCGAGTTCTTCATGATAGTGAGGACGAGTCGGAGATAACAACTAACAATCCCATTCCGCAGGTTCGACAGAGGCTCGAACAAATCAAGGGCCTCCAACGGCAAATAGATAAAGTGCGAGCCGAAGCCGAAGAGTTCAAGGGATGTATGGACATTTTGGCTTCACAAAAGGAAACCATTCAAGCAGAGCTGGATTTAGCCAAGTCACAGCTTCGATATGTAAGTGAGAATGCCTCGGTCTAAGCGAAGAAGGTCAAGGAGCTCGAGTCCAATTTAGCAGTTTGGCCAAAGAGCTTGAGGCTGCCAGATTTGAAGTGGCCGCAGCCAATACTAAGGCCCAGGCTACTGCGGCCCAATACAAAGTCAATGCCGAAGCCACCCTCGAGCATGCCAAGGGCATAGCGGATCATTCGAAGTGGCAGGCTCTCGAGGGGGCCCTTGCTAAAAGTTTCGATATATCTGTTGAACTCGAGATTGCCTAGGCTGAGGAAGCAAAGGCTCGGAAGCTAGCATTTCCCGACAAGGATTCCGAGAATGTGAGCGGATCTGATGGAGAAGACACCGAGGGCGAAAAAGCTTCCTCCGATAAGGACCGTGATGCTTAGGCCTAGTAATTTTCGCTTTTGCTTTAGGGCCGATTGGCCTTTGTAAAGAATTTTTTCATTAGGCCATGTGGCCCTTGTAAAAAAACACTTTGATATATAAATTTTTTTTCTTTCCATGGCTCCTGAATCCGTTTTCCTTTAGTTATTTTATGCAAGTGTCAAAGTATCTTTAATACAAAGTTATATAGTTGAATTCAACGGTCCCAGATCAGACATTCGAACTTAACCTGAGGCAGTTTCTGATAGACCGGAGTGAGATCATTTATCTGGACTCGGAATAAGGTAATCTTTGAGTTTGATGTTCGAGTGAGAATGTTATCTCGAACTCAAAATCAGGCGGCCCTTAGGCTCGAAGAACAGTCCCCGAGTGGGAATTTATTCGAATTCGAGTTGCAATAGCCCTTAAGCTCAGTAGTCGAGTAAGAGTGATATTTCATGCTCGAAGTGAGAGTAGCCCTTAGGCTTTTGTATTTGGCCGATCTGGCCTTTGTAGAACGATCGTTTTAACATATATAAGGCTTTCTACCCTTTTTGTCTTTCAAGAATTTTTTTTCCTTTGCTTTGTCATTCGTGTTTGCAAAGGTTAGAATGCCTTAGCATGAAATAATAAAGTCGTGTTTGAGGGTTCGAACAAAATCTTGTTTTTACTACCTTTCTAGGTTAAGGCGTTATCAGGGTTCGATATTTATCGATGTTTTTTCTCGAATATTAAGATTCTGTCGAGGGTAGCCTTTCAGAACCAATTGTAAAAAAAATTTGAAGGCCTGTTTTGTTACAGAATTCGGACATCTCCGAGCCGTGTTAATTTGGCCGTAGCCTCTTTATTTCGGGATTTG